CCGATGATTCGCAATCACTGCTGCAGTAGTGACGGGGGTGTGGTGCGGTGATTGTGTGTTTGTGTGCTACATCATGATTTGACAATGATTTTTGTTGGTGGCAATGGTGGTGGATTTGGTGCTAACGGATGTTTTTGTTGGTGGTGGTGAATCTAGCGGTTGGATGGTTTTTGTTGGATGTGATGGTGGATGTGTTGATGGCAATGGTGGTTTGTAGTTGAAAACGATGGTTTGTTGGTGGATCTGGTGGTAGTTTTGATAGTTTGTTGGAGGTAGTGGTGATGGTGATCGGGGCGGCGCTAACTATGGTAGTGAGGTGGCGCAACTTTCGCTTGGTACCATGGTGGATTGGGGGTTGGACAAGTGTAGGTGGTGGAATTAAGAGTATTTGTGACAAATTATTTGAGATTATAATTAATAAATTGGTTATTTTGTGAATAACTTGTGATCAATAAATAATATGTAACCTAAAAATTTGATTTGTGAGTTACAAAATTTGTGGTTAATAGTCGTTAATAAATTATGACCCATAAAAAATTTTATTCGTGACCGTGAAATAATTTGTTACCTATATAATTTTTTATTTGTGATTGAGAAATAATTTATGATCAATTAATTTAATAATTTGTGATCAAATTGTATAAAATTATAACCTTTATATATTTAATTAATAAAATATATATTTAATTAATTATTTAATAAAAAATGTAATTAATATCTAATTTTTAAAATTTTAAACTTTATTACCCAATTTTGAAATGGATCGTACGTTACCCCTTAGAAATGGAATTTTCCCTGTATTAAATAAAAGGGTCCACGGGTCAATCTTATATTGATAAACCCAAACTCTTTAATGATGAGAAATAAAAAGATGGTAGGAGTGGATTGGTGTCCATCATTATACAACTTTATACAAACATGTGACGCATTTAATGATTCCCAATCCTAAGTAGTGCACTCTTGCCTTTAATGCTTTATGTCACAATTTTCTTGAATCCCAATAATTTTTGTGTATATGATTGTGAGTAATTGGAATCAAATTTTGACTAGGCAAGTTCAATTGAAACTAAATCGAATTTGAGATATAAACTCAGCATTCAAGTTTTTTTTTTAGCTCAATTAAATTTAATTAAATATATGAAATCACTTTCCACAATTCGAATAAAGAAAATCAAACTTCAAGAGATATTCCTTGGAAAAATTACATGGCAACAGATATTTAAGAAATACAATTCATAAATCAGGTATGAAATTTATTTTTGCAAATATCATAAATTAATCTAACTATAAAATAATCCACCCCAAATCGCTTCACTTCCCAAACCCTAATTATTCATTCTCATCATTCTCTCTCTACATCCCTCTCCGCCTTCTCTCCAGCAGATTCCGTCTCGAATCAACATCAAATTTGGGGATTTTGGAGGTGAATTCATTCTCCTTTTGATCTAATCTGCTTAGCGAAGTGGAGAAATCTAGTGTGGTTTTAATGTTTTGATGCAATGTGAAGTTTGTGCTGTAGTATTGTTGGTAAGTCGAAGGGAAACAAGTGGCGACTGGTGGTCCGCTTGGCTTGGTGCGGTGGCTAGTGGGCAACAGTGGTGGTTTTCATATAGTGGTGCTACTGCTGCTACTAGCAGGGTTGTGATGGTGTTTTGACGGGGTGGGTAATATTTCTGACCACGTATTGTGGTGGAATGGGATTGAGATAGAGTCTGGTGATGCGATGGTTCTGGTGGTGTGGTGCAAATGGCGATTGGGTGATAGTGATTTGTGATTAAAATTGGTGCTAGATCGGGATCGATGGTGGGGGTGTTTGGCATTCATGACTAACTATTTCGCTGATTTGTAATAAAAAATAAGTGCCTATGACTAAAAAATAATTTGTGACATATGTGATACATAGATAAAATATGACATGTAATTTGAATGATTTGTGATCTCGAATTAATCTGTGACCTACAAATTTTTTTATTTGTAACCACAAAATAATTTATGACCAATTAATTTGACGATTTGTGACCAGTAAATAAATTTATGACCTATAATTATAAATCTGTGATCATTAATCGTTTAACTGTGATTTTATTATCTTTATTTAATAAATATTTTAATTAAAAATATATCTGAACTTTGAATTTTCATACTATTTACCTAATTTTTGAAACGGTATAAAGATACACTTAAAATATGATTTTTTTTCCTTCGTATGGACATTTTGTATGCTTTGACAAGCCCATTTATATTCAAATATCATTGGCAATTCATGGGCCATGGTGCCAATGACGGGATAAAAAATAATTTTACAACCATTTTTTTTAACTTTCTTTTATGTGGTCTATTTTTTACGATTTGTAGCATTGGTTGGAGGGATAAAATGCCATATGCTAGAAGATCACTAATCAATGGGTCAACTTTTTGAAAATTTCTATTTATTTCGTCTTCTCTCTCTTTTTCTCAGTTTCTACCAATTTTTTTTTCAATAGATGAACTCTAACGATTAGTCTAAGGATCTTCAAAAAAAAAAAAAACAAAAAGTCGAAATCACCTCATAAAATAGCCTCCATATTTTGTTCACTAGCCTTGTAACTGACTTACAAACTTAGAGAAAAAAAAAAGGGGGTATTTGTTATATTTGTATATACGTGGCATGCATGTCATGTGTCCTACATTGATTGACTCGACATCAACACCTGAATTGGGCCAATTAATCAAAAAACATGTTCTCGTACTTCGGTGGGCCAATTAATCAAACAACATGTTCTTGTACTTCGGCCGGTCCAACAATCCACCTTGACCCATTTTCATCCCTTTATATAGGGTTTGGGTAATGAATGTTTTTCCAATCTTAGCCAAGTCTCTTCTCCCATCTCTCAACACTCAAAGTATCTCTCGTCTAGTTGTTGACTTAATCATCGAAGTGCAAACGATTGTCAAACATATTTCTTGGTCCATGATCTTTGCCTCTTAAAAGGGTGTTCAAGTATGCAAGTGACACCTACGTGGAAGGGAGATGGTGGGATTTTGTCAACCACATGTTCACCGAATTCTAAGGTCGATAGTATTTGTTGGAAGAAATATATAGACTATAGTCCAAGAACCTGGCAACTGACCTCAAGAAAATTAGATCCTATTCGTTTTGTTAGTCAAATTAAAGAATATGGTTATACAACTCCACAAGAATAATTTGTATGCGCATGAGTAAGACTTCTTTATATTCATTTTAAGTTTTAAAAAATAATTATCTAGATATTTTTCATGCAATTCCTTGAAAAGTTGCATTATATACATTGAACAAAGAAGAAAAATTAATTAGTACAACAATGCAGCAATGCAACATGCATTTCGAGACAGTGACCTTTACAGAAAGAATGTGTGCCAGTCGATAAAATTTACATCTTTGTATTTTATTGAATAATTGATTGGTTTATATATATATATATATATATATATATATATATATATATATATATATATATATGAGCTCAACAAAATATAATCACATCCGTCACATATCATTTTACGAGTAAAAGGACATGAGCAACACATCAAAATGTTGTAATACCCATCATTTTAACTGCTATCTCATCAAATTTGTCAACACATCTAACAAGTGAGGTGAGATAAAGTTTGGTGGTAACTCGAATAGCTTTTGAAGTAAAATAACATTTGAAAATATTTAGAAAAGATCAATGCCATCTCGAGAACCTTTTAAAGTTCAATGACAGTTGGTAAACATTTAAGAAAACTCAGTGACAACTGAAATCTTTAACCTTGAACATTTATATGAAATGTTTTTGAATGTTATTCTACTCCACGAGTACATGCTCTCAGTACTTATGTATAATCTCTTTTTTTTTTAATAAAATAATATTACACGTAAATCCAAAACTTTTCTTTATGTTTTAACCACACATTTTCCATCTATATACCATTCAAAAATACATTCTTAAGAAAATATTGTGACTCAACAAGGGCTTAATCAACCATTCTTTATTTTATGAGTCTGTTTGAAGCACATTATTGGACAAAAAATTGAAAATTCTGATCGTTAACCATTACTTCCAACCAGTTTTGTTGACTTCTCATCTTTTGTGTGGGGCCTAGCTGTGTGTGCAACAGCTAGAACTCTCATTTTAATGAAACAAATAATGTGGTCCAAACAGAGGCTTAGAACCAAAGATAGTACGAGTGAACCTCAACGCATAATATCCACGCCTTGGCATAAGAATGGGTCACACATACTAATGCAATATGAACATAATCAAGTCATTACTCAAACTTCTACTTGTCATATACACATAAGAAGGTGCACCAAGTTGGAAAATTGAAGAGTTAATGAAGTTTCACACTACCCTGCAATGCACAGAAGCAAATTGAATTTGAGGTATTGAGATATTAGATAATCTGAAAAAGAACAAACGCTTACAATGAATGGTTGATAAGCCATCCAAAAATAGAAAAACGAAATAAAATGGGTATATATCCTTCCATATACATTTTTGGAATATGTTCAAAAGAAGCAATCAGAAAGCCTTTAGATGAGAGACTCAAGAAACCCAGAAAGGGACTTGATAGCAACAGATTCACAACTGAAAAAGAAGTCGTAAATATTAATCTACTCATTGACTAATTAATTTCATTCCAAGTCAATTCTGCCCTAAAGCACTGTTCAAGAAGAGTCGGAAAAAAAAATTGGGATCTAATTATAAGATTCAGTCACTGCTACAGGGACTAAAAATGAGAACAAACAAAGATCTCATGAACCAAAAACTCTCTTCACTGAAATTCTATGACCTCTATATACTAAAGGATAAAAGAACATGTCTTATCTTCGGTAAATAAAGTTTACAGCAACAAAATTGAAAATTGTACAAATTTCAGCTTAAGAAATGCTGAGGACCAATAATTTCCAACTGAATGAACTGATAGATGATTGTGAAAGGAAGGATACATAAAAAACATGATAAACAACAAATTATTCATCAGTTAGTAGGAAGGAATTTAAAAGAAACCTCAAAACATCTTAGTCGAATCAAATGGTGCAACAAATCTATATTTTTGCATCAAAACCAATTTCTACTTCACACCCATAATAAACAAGATTCAAACAGTTTTGTAAAAAGAGAAAAAGAAAAAAATACAGGACAGAACAGAACAGAACATAAATGTAGCACACATGACATGAACCCATTAATGATAAAGTAGTCTCTGAATAGTCGAGAACAAAAACCATCTACATTCCAGTCACCAGTATGGAGAATCCTGGAAAAGATGGCCCATGATCCTCCCATACTTTAGTAGACATATACCATGCTTACCTCATTTGAAATTAAAAAGCAGCAAGCAATCCCTAAACGTAGAGGGAAGCTACTTAGGACCAATATCCTTGAGGGCACAGATCTGCTCCTCTCCCATGGCAGACATGACACTAACAACCAGGTCCTTCCCATCAGCAAATCCATCCTTGATCTGTATGTTGATCACAAAAATTAGGGAAAAATAGGCTAAAAAGGTAACAAAGAGCAAAGAGATTTCCCTTGCCCAGCCCACGACGTGAATATATTAGACAAACCTGAGTAAGCAGACTTTCATCGGTTGGAAGCCTCAGGTCATCCTTAGTGTTACCATTATCAGTCAGCAAGCTCACCTACACCATTTTGAAAAGCACTATTAGATAAAGTGATTAATGGCAACACTATCAGAGAAAGAGAAATCAAGCACATACAAATCCATCTTCAGATATGTCAATGAGCTGGTAATCAGTGCGGTTAACATGAGGGACCTGTAGTTCAAACAACTCAATTGTCATAACAAGCAAAAGAAACAAAAGCAATACACATTAAGAAAACAATATTTTAGGAGAAAAAAATAGTATCCATACATCACAATTATGGGAAGACGGCACAATATCTTCAAGCTTCTTTCCATTAAAGATGTCAATTGCAACAAAGTGACACTTAGCGTGACCATGCTTCCCAGTCTTGGAAGTTGAAACTTCCACAACCTGGCATCAAATGATCAATTCCACTACTATTATCAACAAGAGGTATCTGGACGGTAAATTGTAAATGAATATATATTTCACTCTCTAAAATAAAAGAGCATCCCAAGTCCGAGAAATCATCTCCAAATTGAATAAAATAGTAACAGGCAGATCTAAAATTTCCAAATTTCAAGTAAAATTTCATAAAACATAATGATCGATTTACATAAACAAACAAAAGATCAAAAAATTGATTTTTTTTTTTTTAAAAAACAGAATACCATAAATAATCAGATTATGTTTAAAATTAGCATAAAAACTTCAATCATAATTAGCTGGCAAATACATACAGAAATCAAATTTAACTATATCACAATTACCAACTATACGGCTATACCTGAAACACACAGATCTAGAGGTAGAACAAAAAAACCCTAGAAACACATATATGCTCCAGTGTACATCCACACACAAAAACAAAACAAAATTAACGAGGTTATCAAAAGTGATAACATTTGTAAAAATCAGATTTCAAAATTTAAGCACATAAAATCGCACAATCATATGACTAATACGAACCTTGCAAGGACGGCCTTTGATGACAAGGTAACCGTTCTTACGGATGGTTCCGGCCTGCTGGGGAAAAGTCTTGGAAGCGCCGGCATCGGCCTTCGACTCAAAGTGATGTTCCTCGTCAGACATGGTCAAATTTCACGAGTAACACTAGAGAACTTAAAATTTGTAGAGAGAGGGGGAGAGAAGAAAGTAGGAGGGCGATACGACTGGGTGTTCATATATACACAAGATTGTGGAAGAAAGAGAATTTTATTAGGGTTTTTTTTTTCCTTTTTGGGGAAATTGATTTAAAAAAAAAAAAAAAAAAAGGGTTAAACCCTAATTTAAGGGTCCCCACCACCCCTGCTCTGGAGCATCGTGAGGGAAATTGATTTTTGGATCGTTGGATTGTGGTATAAGCGGTTTCGGATGAGAGATTTCATTTGGATTTAGCCTTTTTTGAGTCGGCTTCGAAACGACGAATTGCCTTTTTCTTTTCATTTTATTTTCTTTCTGAGAGATTTATTATAGAATAATTCTATTTGTACTGAATTTTGGATATCAAAAGTTGTCTTCCCTCTCACAATCCACACAAGCCCGGTTTGAATATAGAAATTCTCAAACGTGGTCCCCACCTTCTATCGTGAATAGTAGGTAAAGGATTAGATAAAAAAATAATGTACATATAGCATTATCCTTTATTTTAACCCCCGTTAGATTCTCATTCTATGGCCATAAAAATAAAAATATGATCATTATCCATCACATTATTTTGTGTGGATTCAGTAACAACTATATTTTTCATTTTCATTCTCATTCTCAAATAGGGATGGCAATTTAAATCATTAAAATCGAAAATTGCAATTAATCTAACAAAATGGGATGAAAAATCCAAACCTATGGTACAATGGGGCGGATATGGTATTTGATTTAGTAAACTGGTTCTTTTTTTTTTCTTTTTTTTTTTTGCGGTGCGGGTTGGTATTTATACCGTCGAACCGAAATCGAGCCAATTACCCTCTTAAAAAATATATTATTTTATTAGGGACGAAAAAGTTTAGTGAGGGAAAAGTTGACAAAGAGGTACATTTATTTATTTAAATCTTAGTTAAAATCATTCTAGATTATGTAATATTGTTGTATTCTCTACTTACATTTCTTATTTACTATATAGGAATCAATTTTGAGTGTTGACCTATGCTAGTAAGAGTTGTGGGAAAAAATGAAGATTGAATATGAGTTAAGGTTGAAACTTTTGTTTTATTGAGCATGAATCAAGTAACTACAATGCACAAGAATCAAGAATGGGGGAAAAATTTAGTATTGTTATATTCATAATATTATTTGTTAAATTTATATTTTGCAATTGAAATTTGGGATAAAATTTACATTTTCGTTTGGAATATTGTATTTTTGTTTTCGTTGACTCTCTTTTCACAAATTGTTTTATATCAATTTGATGAATGAACCCATAAAAAATAATTTATTTTCGTGGTTGTTAACCGAACCGAATCAAGCCGAACATAAATACGAACTGAACCGATTTACGTTGTTATGATATGACAAAAAATTTGACGATTCGATGATATTTTTGACCAAACCAAGCCGAAATCGAACCATTGTCATCCCTATTCTCAAATCTATGGAAATCAAACGAGGCTAATAAATAATAACACAATGCATCTTATTATCTATTTGCACATGTTACAATTTCATTTTCAATTTATGTTTTCTTTTAATGCCTTATTTTTAATTTTGAAATAAAAGACAAAATTCACCATCAACAGCCCACCATTCAATTGCCATTTCAAATTGAATAATACTATTTACATTCACTACTACAATCGCTCTACGTGACATATATATAACGATCAGTGATTTGATATAGGAAATAATAAAAAATTACCATGTTAATGTATTAAATTAGTAACATTACTCATTCAAATTAGGAATAGCAACAAAACATACCTTGACTTACTTTATCAAAGAATTTTACGTGGTAGTGCAAGACAATAAAACACGATAAATTAAAATATTTTCGTTACTTGTAAGTAACTCAAGAACTACAGTAATCACCCTATATAACAGCTTGTTATTTGAGACAATAGAATTATGAAAAATTAAGTCTCAAATAACAAGTTGTCACATAAATAGACTACTACAGTCATTGAATATGAATAGCACTATTGATTGCGCTGGGAAGGGGAGACAAGAAAACAAAATAAAATTAAGAATTTCTCTATTTTATCATCAAAACTGTGAAAGTTGTGTGCTTTTTTAACGGGTCGACTCTAGTTTGTAAGCCAGGGTCATCTGTTATCCCATCAACTGTTCCATAGGTTCACGTTTTGCAAGTAGCATCTGCTGCAGCTCTAATAGGAAACTGCATATTGTAGCATCTTCAATAGGTCTGCTAATTAAACGTAAATAATACAAACCATTATGATTCCACCAGTTATAAGAATAAGATGTTACAAAATAGAAGTGGACATTCTACATGATCAGGGGAAACTCTTAAAATTCCACCTCTTCAAGGGAGCTCTCGAGTTTTCTGTCATTTTGAACGAATAATTGCAGTATATCCTCGTCTTTGAAGAGGAAATAAAGCCATTCTGCTGAAAATTGTGAGGCGAGTTACAGCATGTTAGGCTAAACTTATAAAGGTAAGTAAAAGTGATTTCCAAACATGTCTACATATTTGAAACCCACTCTTATCTTAATGGTAAAAGAAGTAACTAGCACGCAAGACTGACCTTGGTTTCAATAGTTTCCCATTGAACTGCTAGTGGAACCTGATCTCGTGTGGATATCATCTGTTTTGTGTATAAATATCTGAGGCAGCTCTTCTCTGTCTTAATCAAAGTGAACTGAATTATGTGGATGAATGCCTCAACATTTATCGTAAATATGGATATGTACAGTATAGTGCAGAATTCTCAAACCTTGATCGAAGAACTAAGTTACTATAGACTAATCATCATCTCATCCAAGGGAATCAAATCACTGAGACTACCAACTCGGGAAGAACTTTCATAAAAATGGTTCTCCAATCGTCGGCTTTTATAATCAAAAGTTATTTAAGAGAACCATTACCAATATAGCTATTATTTAAACATGGAGAATCAATATAAAATGACCTCCAGAAACTTAACAATATTATGGTAAATCTGTAGACTCGGTAAATCACAAGAACCCTAATAAATGACCAAGATCAAAGGATGCACGTGAAGAAAAAGGAGAAAAGGAAAAATAACAATAGCAAAAAACTATCTCTAGAGAAGTTCTCATGATTGAAAAAATTCATTCAATGAACTTAAAAATCTTATTGAGCATCAGAA